ACGTTACGCGGTTTTTCTTCCTCATTCCAAGGGTTTCGGTATGCTGGTACGGAAGCGCAACACAACAAAATCATCATATCTTCATTTATCAAGGAGAGCGCCAGCGAGACAAGATTACTTTGAACCCATTCGATGCTCAGTAAGGATAGTCGCGAGCTGTAGTCGCCCACATTGCTTCCAAGTATGCAAGCGGCAGGAAGTAAAAAATGATGCTGGAATTAGTGTGATTCATTCGATTCGAGGGCCGATTCCTTTGTCATTCTGATCCTATCCTACCGAAGTTTTTTATTTGAGGTCCCTGTCGCTTCTTTTCAATTATTTGGTGCCGGGGGCCGTGTTTGAAAGTTATGGCGATGTCTAGGGTCGCATTGAGCCGAGGGAGTGCCGTATAAAAAATTTCTGCTTGAATGGTTCCTACCGATCCTTTTCAGCGCTCGGACTCGGAACGAAGACTAGCGTTGATGTCACTTTTCGATTACTTCTTCAACCGTTCGCATAAATTTCGCCTTAGAACAGTGGACAAATTGCAGGTTTGTAGGAGAATGCTCTGCTCACAACCACGACCATTCACTGGAGGTAATCCTTTCAGGAGTTGCTTCTGCTTGTGTGCGAAACGGATCCTCTGCATCATCCTCTTCCTGGGCCCAGTACGGAAGCGAGGGAGTTGAAGGTAGGAAAGGAAACGGTCACAGATTTCTGCTATACGTTTTATTTTCAGTCTTATGCCATAAAAACTGTCAAAAAGTGGCATGAGAAGTTCGGTCCTGGCTACGACAAGCTGAACTATGTGGGCGATTTTTTACGAGAATCTAAGGTAGCTTGATAACGCTCTTCCATTATTTCTCTTGTATCAGTTCTCGGAATGAATCCTGTTAACTTTTTCAGGCTGTAGATTTCGATTCAGCTTCTGCAGAACTTTTGGCTGAAAGGTTGAGAAAAGAAGCAGAGGATCGAAAAAGTGCCGAACTATCGCAAAAAGTGAGAACCCAGCTGTTGGTTAGATAACTATTTCAGATACCCCATGTTCTCGTTGCGGTCTATAATTTCAGTGGTTATACAAACGTTGCGAGGCTCAATTGCGAACGAAACGCTTTGCTTTTGTATAAAATTCGTTGATGTTTTTTCATGTTCATCTTGTAAAGATGGAATTTAGGTTGTTGCTCACGTCCGCCGAAAACTTGACGAAGTAAAGGATGACATTGAACGATGCATTGCTTCTGCTGACACAGCTCTCTCAATCCTAGTGCCCGTGTTTTGTACTGATTTCGAAGAAAATGCGGTCAAAAACTGTGACAATACCTCTGATCCAAGCAGCGTCCAAGAACTTCAAGAAAAACAGGTATGTACACCGTTTGATTGCCGTAGCCCTTTTGAGAGGAGTGCAGTGTTAAGTAGCGCTACTACCTTGATCATTATAAAGAAGCCAGCTCCGCTCATTTCATTAACACCAAAGCGTGAATGACTGGAAGTCGAGGAGGTCATTGTTTGGTTCGTGCCAGGTACATGAACTCCGCTACTTCAGAGAGAATCCCGGAGTTCACATCCGATACAACACACTCCTTTTAAAATAGCGCATATTATCGAAGGCAAAACCACCCACAAGCACTATTATTTCCGGAAGCTCGAAAACATCATATTTCCATCATCAAAGTATGACACCTCCATAATAATCAACGCTTATCAGCTCAAGAAAAGGTTAATATCCCAGATTTATTAATAAATACATTCATTTGGAAGGCAAATGAGCGAACTGGTCCCCGAACTTCCTCTGGAGCCGAGCTTTACGTGCAGCGTCAAGAGCAGCGGAAACACGTTTTATGGTTCTCGGATTGAGAAGCTTCTTCTGAAACATCACATTTAGTATTCTCACAGTTGATGTAACGATGATTGCACATAGTGCTGAACACTGAACCTCCAGACGCTCACGCACGGTACTTTCCTGCACTTTCTTCTTTTTAGTGTTTACTCACAAACGACTTTCCAGTACCAGCTTCGAGATCTCTGAAGGAATAGCCTCGTTTTTCCGACTACCGGGCTATTAGACAAAAGTAGTTCCAAGGAAATTCGCAATCTTTTCATAGTTAAGCTGTTCCAGTCAGGCCTACGTATGTTTCTACATATGCGACTGTGATTGACTTTTCGCTCTTAGAAAGAAAGAAAGCGAAGGTTCTTTAGAAATGACCTTAGGAGGAGGAAACTAATTCGCAGCATTCTTAAGAGCATATGCAAACCTCAAGTAATCTTGCTCTTCTTGGTGTTCTCGTTCAGCTTGAGCAGCGGACAACTCGGTTGCATCAACCTCTTCCAAAGGAAAACCTTCGCTATCTCTATCAATTATTATGCCGTGAAGTGGACATCTGAAAACATTCATTTACTCCTAAAATTCATTTTATATGACAGTTTCATTGTGAACAGCTCTGGAAAAATTGCCTGATACTCAGCATCACTCATACAATTGAAATCCACTTACTTGCGCAAGTCCATTCTCGGACAAAGTTTTCCATTTGACAGCCTTGCCTTGCAACGTCTCTCCGCTCGCTGTGGCTCTCCTATCCATGTTATCACTCTGATTTCTCCACTAGACTCTCTCTCGACGGGTCTGAACAGTGGGATACAATGTTACTGAACAGACTATAACAACGCTTTGAAAAATTTACCGATCGTCATCTTCTGCAGCTCTCCAAAATCGATGACAATCTGCATTGTTACGAGGAATAGGGGCTTCACAACGCTGTTCTCCCCAGTACTTCAGATCGAGTCCGTAAGAAACTACAGGAATATTCGGCTTGACCTCATCCTAAAGGAGTACAAATGTGAGTAGAAAAATAAGATGAATTCTTGAAGTGCTGTAAAAGAATGTAGTTTCAGCGTGTCACTTTGATTCGCAACCCTTCAGAGAGAAATGACTATCGACTTCGGAAGTGCAA